TGGTGGTGATGGTTGTAGTGACGATGGTGGTGATGGTGACAGTGACGATGGTGGTGATGGTTGTAGTGACGATGGTGGTGACAGTGACGATGGTGGTGACAGTGACGATGGTGGTGATGGTTGTAGTGACGATGATGGTGATGGTTGTAGTGACGATGGTGGTGATGGTTGTAGTGACGATGGTGGTGATGGTTGTAGTGACGATGGTAGTGATGGTGACAGTGACGATGGTGGTGATGGTTGTAGTGACGATGGTGGTGGTTGCAGTGACGATGATGGTGATGGTGACAGTGACGATGGTGGTGATGGTGACAGTGACGATGGTGGTGATGGTGACAGTGACGATGGTGGTGATGGTTGCAGTGACGATGGTGTTGATGGTGACAGTGACGATGGTGGTGATGGTTGTAGTGACGATGGTGGTGATGGTTGTAGTGACGATGATGGTGATGGTTGTAGTGACGATGGTAGTGATGGTGACAGTGACGATGGTGGTGATGGTTGTAGTGACGATGGTAGTGATGGTGACAGTGACGATGGTGGTGATGGTTGTAGTGACGATGGTGGTGATGGTTGTAGTGACGATGGTGGTGATGGTTGTAGTGACGATGATGGTGATGGTTGTAGTGACGATGGTGGTGATGGCTGCAGTGACGATGGTGGTGATGGTGACAGTGACGATGGTGGTGATGGCTGCAGTGACGATGGTGGTGATGGTGACAGTGACGATGATGGTGATGGTGACAGTGACGATGGTGGTGATGGTGACAGTGACGATGGTGGTGATGGTGACAGTGACGATGGTGGTGATGGCTGCAGTGACGATGGTGGTGATGGTGACAGTGACGATGGTGGTGATGGCTGCAGTGACGATGGTGGTGGTGACAGTGACAATGATGGTGATGGTGACAGTGACGATGGTGGTGATGGCTGCAGTGACGATGGTGGTGATGGTGACAGTGACGATGGTGGTGATGGTGACAGTGACGATGGTGGTGATGGTGACAGTGACGATGGTGGTGATGGTTGCAGTGACGATGGTAGTGATGGTTGCAGTGACGATGGTGGTGACAGTGACGATGGTGGTGATGGTTGCAGTGACGATGGTGGTGACAGTGACGATGGTGGTGATGGTTGCAGTGACGATGGTGGTGATGGTTGCAGTGACGATGATGGTGATGGTTGTAGTGACGATGGTGGTGATGGTGACAGTGACGATGGTGGTGATGGTGACAGTGACGATGGTGGTGATGGTGACAGTGACGATGGTGGTGATGGTGACAGTGACGATGGTGGTGATGGTTGCAGTGACGATGGTAGTGATGGTTGCAGTGACGATGGTGGTGACAGTGACGATGGTGGTGACAGTGACGATGGTGGTGATGGTTGCAGTGACGATGGTGGTGATGGTTGCAGTGACGATGATGGTGATGGTTGTAGTGACGATGGTGGTGACAGTGACGATGGTGGTGACGGTTACAGTGACGATGATGGGAATGGTGACAGTGACGATGGTGGTGACAGTGACGATGGTGGTGACAGTGACGATGGTGGTGACAGTGACGATGGTGGTGACAGTGACGATGGTGGTGACAGTGACGATGGTGGTGACAGTGACGATGGTGGTGACAGTGACGATGGTGGTGACAGTGACGATGGTGGTGACAGTGACGATGGTGGTGACAGTGACGATGGTGGTGACAGTGACGATGGTGGTGACAGTGACGATGATGGGAATGGTGACAGTGACGATGGTGGTGACAGTGACGATGGTGGTGACAGCGTTGCAGATGGTGTCGTCTTCTGGCTGAATCGCGCTGAAGTTAATTGTTTAGATTAATTTCTACCATCGTTAACACCGAGTAGGAGACGTGTTGCCGTGGGAGGGGGAGGGGGAGAGAGGAGAGGGGAGGGGGAAGGAGGGGGAGAGAGGAGAGGGGGAGAGAGGAGAGGGGAGGGGGAAGGGAGGGAGAGGGGAGGGGGAGAGAGGAGAGGGGAGGGGGAGAGAGGAGAGGGGGAGAGAGGAGAGGGGAGAGGGGAGGGGGTGGGGGAGGGGGAGAGGGGGTTATATTGGGGGTCTGATCACCGGTTCATTCTCGTTCTCCAATAAACATAACCCTTTTTTTGTGTGTAGGAATAACCCTATTCTGGTGACAGGACCCCGGAGTGGGCATGACATAGGTTGTGTGAAGAGTTTCCCATCACATTGTACAGTGATCTGGGCCGCTGGGTCACCATTCATCAAGACGTGTATATTGACGAAACCTCTACATGATCTATCTTCAATCATAGCGATATAATTTGCGTTTATGAGAGTTTATATATATATATGATCTGCAGCACCACGAGGTTATCCATAATAATATCCTTTTGGTTGCCAAGTTTCAGAGCTCGTAAATTACCGTTTAAGCCGCCACGATTGAGGAAAGATGTACAGGTTTCGTAAGTGGACAGTTAAATACTTGATGAATCCCGGTCATTCGACGGGTTTATTCAGTAATAGAAGAAAGGTTTCTTAGAGCGATCGAGCACAACTCTAAATGATGGGAATGTTTCAATGCTTGGCTCCTGTTGCCTCGCCTGGACCTCCTCCTGTTGCCTCGCCTGGACCTCCTCCTGTTGCCTCGCCTGGACCCCCTCCTGTTGCCTCGCCTGGGCCTCCTCCTGTTGCCTCGCCTGGACCTCCCTCCTGTTGCCTCGCCTGGACCTCCCTCATGTTGCCTCGCCTGGACCCCCTCCTGTTGCCTCGCCTGGACGACCTCCTGTGGCCTCGCCTGGACCCCCCTCCTGTTGCCTCGCCTGGACCCCCTAGCTCCTGTTGCCTCGCCTGGACCTCCTCCTGTTGCCTCGCCTGGACCCCCTCCTGTTGCCTCGCTTGGACCCCCTCCTGTTGCCTCGCCTGGACCCCCTCCTGTTGCCTCGCCTGGACGACCTCCTGTTGCCTCGCTTGGGCATCCTCCTGTTGCCTCGCCTGGACCCCCCTCCTGTTGCCTCGCCTGGACCCCCCTCCTGTTGCCTCGCCTGGATCCCCTCCTGTTGCCTCGCTTGGACCCCCTCCTGTTGCCTCGCCTGGATCCCCTCCTGTTGCCTCGCTTGGACCCCCTCCTGTTGCCTCGCCTGGACCCCCTCCTGTTGCCTCGCCTGGACCCCCTCCTGTTGCCTCGCCTGGACCCCCTGCTGTTGCCTCGCCTGGACCACCTCCTGTTGCCTCGCCTGGACCCCCTAGCACCTGTTGCCTCGCCTGGACCTCCTCCTGTTGCCTCGCCTGGACCTCCTCCTGTTGCCTCGCCTGGACCCCCTCCTGTTGCCTCGCCTGGACCCCCTCCTGTTGCTTCGCTTGGACCCCCTCCTGTTGCCTCGCCTGGACCCCCCTCCTGCTGCCTCGCTTGGACCCCCTCCTGTTGCCTCGCCTGGACGACCTCCTGTTGCCTCGCCTGGACCACCTCCTGTTGCCTCGCCTGGACCCCCTCCTGTTGCCTCGCCTGGACCACCTCCTGTTGCCTCGCCTGGACACCCTCCTGTTGCCTCGCCTGGACACCCTCCTGTTGCCTCGCCTGGACCACCACCTGTTGCCTCGCCTGGACACCCTCCTGTTGCCTCGCCTGGACCACCTCCTGTTGCCTCGCCTGAACCCCCTCCTGTTGCCTCGCCTGAACCCCCTCCTGTTGCCTCGCCTGGACCACCTCCTGTTGCCTCGCCTGGACCCCCTCCTGTTGCCTCGCCTGGACCACCTCCTGTTGCCTCGCCTGGACCACCTCCTGTTGCCTCGCCTGGACCACCTCCTGTTGCCTCGCCTGGACCCCCTCCTGTTGCCTCGCCTGGACCCCCTCCTGTTGCCTCGCCTGGACACCCTCCTGTTGCCTCGCCTGGACACCCTCCTGTTGCCTCGCCTGGACCACCACCTGTTGCCTCGCCTGGACACCCTCCTGTTGCCTCGCCTGGACACCCTCCTGTTGCCTCGCCTGGACACCCTCCTGTTGCCTCGCCTGGACACCCTCCTGTTGCCTCGCCTGGACACCCTCCTGTTGCCTCGCCTGGACACCCTCCTGTTGCCTCGCCTGAACCCCCTCCTGTTGCCTCGCCTGGACCACCTCCTGTTGCCTCGCCTGGACCCCCTAGCACCTGTTGCCTCGCCTGGACCCCCTAGCACCTGTTGCCTCGCCTGGACCTCCTCCTGTTGCCTCGCCTGGACCTCCTCCTGTTGCCTCGCCTGGACCCCCTCCTGTTGCCTCGCCTGGACCCCCTCCTGTTGCTTCGCTTGGACCCCCTCCTGTTGCCTCGCCTGGACCCCCTCCTGCTGCCTCGCTTGGACCCCCTCCTATTGCCTCGCCTGGACCCACTCCTGTTGCCTCGCCTGGACCACCTCCTGTTGCCTCGCCTGAACCCCCTCCTGTTGCCTCGCCTGGACCCCCTCCTGTTGCCTCGCCTGGACCCCCTCCTGTTGCCTCGCCTGGACCACCTCCTGTTGCCTCGCCTGGACCACCTCCTGTTGCCTCGCCTGGACACCCTCCTGTTGCCTCGCCTGGACACCCTCCTGTTGCCATTCTCCACAACAAACACAAACAGGACAGCTGAAAGTCTGTCAAAACATATTTTAAGGATTCCCGGCAACAACTCGCCTATTCCAGGACATTCTAGATATTGAGTTCATCAACGACCAGTTTCTAGTCACTGGCGACGATATATTTATCAAGAAAAGATTGGACAATATTTAATTTCTTATTTAATGTGAGGAATCCTTGGTAGTCATTTTACATTGTAGAGCTCAGTAGAGTACCATAGTACTCACTGGCCTGTTTAGGCTTTGACAACACTTAGCGCTCCTCCAGGAAAGCTTTAGTACACACGGCCTATAAAAGTTGTCTCTCATTGTTGTGGATATTTAGCAGTTTTTATCCCAAAGTCGGATTATTTTGGCTTAATGGTAACTTGAGCCAGATCGGAGAATTGATCGAGTGCGATGATGGAATTTGGTGGTATTTCCTTATCATTCTTGTGGCATGACCAACAGTGGCACGACCAACAGTGGCACGACCAACAGTGGCACGACCAACAGTGGCACGACCAACAGTGGCATGACCAACAGTGGCATGACCAACAGTGGCACGACCAACAGTGGCACGACCAACAGTGGCACGACCAACAGTGGCACGACCAACAGTGGCACGACTAACAGTGGCACGACCAACAGTGGCACGACCAACAGTGGCACGACCAACAGTGGCATGACCAACAGTGGCATGACCAACAGTGGCATGACCAACAGTGGCATGACCAACAGTGTCACGACCAACAGTGGCATGACCAACAGATTCATGACCAACAGTGGCACGACCAACAGTGGCACGACCAACAGTGGCACGACCAACAGTGGCACGACCAACAGTGGCACAACCAACAGTGGCATGACTAACAGTGGCATGACCAACAGTGGCATGACCAACAGTGGCACGACCAACAGTGGCACGACCAACAGTGGCACGACCAACAGTGGCATGACCAACAGTGGCATGACCAACAGTGGCACGACCAACAGTGGCACGACCAACAGTGACACGACCAACAGATTCATGACCAACAGTGGCATGACCAACAGTGGCACGACCAACAGTGGCACGACCAACAGTGACACGACCAACAGATTCATGACCAACAGTGGCACGACCAACAGTGTCATTACCAACAGTGGCATGACCAACAGTGGCACGACCAACAGTGGCACGACCAACAGTGACACGACCAACAGATTCATGACCAACAGTGGCATGACCAACAGTGGCACGACCAACAGTGACACGACCAACAGTGGCACGACCAACAGTGGCACGACCAACAGTAGGAACATTGACAATGAAAAATAATTCAATGTTGAGCGAGGCTTGCGATTCAGTCCGGTGAGAGTGTCTGGTCACCTTGGCCAAGCCTCTTGAGACGGACTCCTCCCAGAGTCCAGTGATTGGGGAGGAGGGGGGAGTGGGGGGGGGGGGTAAGCAGTCATAGAGTAAAGGGTTCTGCAAGGCGAAGAAGAGGACTGCATAAGGCAGGAAATGGAATCCCAGACTAGGAGAAAGGGGAGGGTATGTTAGAGAAGAGATGACCACAGAAAGATGAAGACGGGGGAAATAAAAGAAGTAAATAACCAATATCTGTCACCTCAGTATCTCAAATATCTTTTCCTTCGATACTCCCTACGTTTTGTTTTAGGAAGTGTGGGGGGGGGGGGAGGAAGAAAAAAGAAAACGAAGACGCACAAGCGATGGGAAAGTTTGGAAATGGGAAACATAGTTTGAGTTATGACAGCACGCGGGCTGTCCGCCTTGCTGACACGATATACTTACATAGTTGTGCTTGCGGAGGTTCAGCTTCGGCTCTTTGGTCCCGCCTCTCAACTGTCTACTGGTGTAGAGGTTCCTGAACTTATTGAGCTCTATCATATCTACATTTAAAACTGTGTATGGAGTCCTCCTCCACCACATCACTGCCTAATGTATTCCATTCATTAACTGTGGCACAAAAAGTTCTAACTAATGTCTCTGGCTCATTTGGGTACTCAGTTACGATGTGTGGGTGTTGGCAGCTAAGCTCAGCTTGCTCTCTTGTCAGGGAGCTGTGAGTGTGAGTGTGAGGTTCTTCACATGTGTTTCAGCATATGTGGATGTCTATAGATGAATAATGTGTGGCATCCACATATACACACTTAGGTGCTTTTGTACGTATTTTGATATGTTTAATGGTCTTTATTATTAGTAGTAGTAGTGGTAGCAGTAGTACTCATAAGAGGGAGGAGAGGGGTTTCTGTTCAGTATTTCATCTAGTAATTATGTGTATTTCACCCTCATATTTTCTCACCCTCTCTTCCCTCCCCCCTAATCTCCCCCATAGTGACTGTTCCCACAAGTAGGAAGGGGCCGGGTGGTCGGGGGCCGGGTGGTGGAGTGAACAGAGGGGTTGGGGGGTTTGGGTGGGGTGGGGGGAGTGTTCCTGGGAATGCACCTGTTGACCCCCGTCCCACAGGCTCCCAGGGCCCCGGGTTGGTTGTCCCGGGTGGAACGGTACTGCGGGTGTAAAGATTAACTCTGGGTGGTCTGGGGTCAGCTTGACGTGGGGTATGGTGGTGGTGGTGGTGGTGGTAACACTAATGGACACTGTACCGATGGTTGTAGTGGTAATGACAGTGATGGTGGAGATGATGGTAATGGCATCAGTGGAGGTGGACATTGTCCGAAACGCTATGCGTACTAGTGGCTTTAGATATTGTATGTACTAGCTCTATCTATAAACCCAACATTATGTTTGTAACTAATCCTCTATGTATGTACTTTTACCCGAATAAACATTTGATTGATTGATTTGTGTTTGTATTAATGATGGGGGATCGTAGTGGTGACGGAGCAGCCCGTCCTTTACAGTCATCACAACAGACAGAAAATGATGTCCAGTAATAAATAACTTGCCCGCACTTACACACACAAACGTGGCTGAGAGCCGCTGGGATTCTTAGTAAATAGTATTTTGGGATTTCAACGTCAATATGCAATGTATCGTTCGAGAGGAAGAGTTCCATCATGATGGTAACGGTGGCGGCGCTTGTGGCAGTAATCGTTGTAAGGGTGAAAGTAAAGGTGGTAGCAATGGTTAGGTTAGGATAAGATAGCACAGTTTAGGGGTGGTCAGGATGGGTTAGAGGATATTCAAGTAGGTTTGGTTACAGTGTTGATTTAAGACATGTATAGCAAGGCATCATCCATTAATATTTTTTCACTTGCCTCGTCACTCTCGTTGTAAACTATACACATTGGCAAAACAAATAGTATAAAGCTATATATTCTTATAGTTTAAAAATTTATAAATTAAATTTATGATTATACCATGAACTTATAAAAAGTTGCACAGCCTCGACATTTTACACAAATATTTGTAGAGGTTAGTCTGGATATAAATCACTGAAGGCAGCTCGTGTAGCATTTATCTGACTGAAGCAGCTTACTACAATGCCACGGGAGACATCTCCCGTCACGCAGGGTGCAGTCGCACCTCCACAGATCTCTAGTATCATCTATTGATACTGGTGATGGCTCAAAAGGGCCTCCACTTACGGGCTATTCCTGCCCGTGCCACCTTTTGGGTGGCTTAATCTTCATCAATCAATCAATCAATCTACTACAATGCCGTAGTGCTTGAATGAAGGCGAAGGAAAGATCCAGTATATGTATAAATGTATTAAAACTAAATTTTCGGATATGATCGACATTCGTACAACACTGTACTACCGTACAGTCTTGTACAGTAGTACAGTCTGTACGAATTACAGCCTTCGAATGTAGGTTAGGGGCCAAACAGCTGAGAGGACAGCGCAAGGGATTCGTAGTCCTGAAGTTCCGGGTTCGATCACCGGTGAAAGCGGAAACAAAAGGGCAGAGTTTCTTTCACCCTGATGTCCCTGTTCACCTAGCAGTAAATAGGTACTTGGGAGTTAGACAGCTGCTGTGGGCTGCTTCCTGTGAATGTATAACAAAAAGGAGGCCTGGTCGAGGACCGGGCCGCGGGGACGCTAAGCCCCGAAATCATCTCAAGATAACCTACATCAGAAAATCTGGTTTTTAATGCATAAATATATTGGGTCTATCCTTCACTTCCATTGATCTGATTTTAACACGATTTAAAATGCTTGTCAATAAACCTTTGTGATGAATGGCCAGTGATAAGTGAATGAAAAAAAATGTTTGTGTTATTTGAGGAAGGAGTAATTATCATCAGAACGAGTGATTATCACCAGACAAGAACAAAAAAGCTGTATCTTATTATACCATTTACTTATTGTACCATTTATTTCTTCAAGTGTAGGTGTGTGCAATGAATTTCGCAGGTGCCTTAGTTCACAGCCACTCAAGCTCAGACACTGCCTTAAATATCCTCACATCTAATGCATCACATTTTAATGCAATTGATCAAACCATCGAAACTGCGGAGTTTTAACAAGAATATTGTAATAACATTGACGGTAGTATTGACGCCTTCTGTGCCGGGTGAGTGTTCCCACAAGTAGGACGGGGCCGGGTGGTCGTTGTATTGTGTCGTTGTATCTCTGTTGCTAACCTATCAACTAACCTTGATAGGTTAGTTTCGTTTCGTATGTTCGAGCATTTTTTGTTAGACAAAACCCATTGCATGTTTTACGGCGTTAAATGGTGAGAACAGCCTAGTTCAGTAACTTTACTTTTCATATGGTCTCAAAATTGAGGTTAGGATAGGTTACTGTAGGTTTCATAGCGCAGGTAGGTAAAGTTTGGTTGCAGGAAAGGTGAGGAGCCTAGAGGCAGATAATCCATGCGAGCTGCCGTCATGCTGAGGGAAGCAGCTGGCGCAGCAATAGAGTGCAGCACTAAGCATAACATTCGTATTGTTGATTTGTGCTCGGCTGGCAACACGGACTCCCAGGACGACTTTGTTACTTTCTAATATGGGTCATGCAGTAGTAGTCAACGTCTTTGGGTCTCAGTCTAGGGACTGGTTCGATATCCAGGCTGGAAAGAAAGGGTTACCTTGTGATGGTTTCGGGGCTTAGCGTCCCCTCGGCCCGGTCCTCGCCCAGGCCTTCTCGTTGCTGGACTGATCAACCAGGCTGTTGGCCGAGGCTGCTTCCAGCCTGACGTATGAGTCACAGCCTGGTTGATCAGGTATCCTTTGAAGGTGCTTATCGAGTTCTCTCTTAAACACTGTGAAGGGTCGGCCAGTTATGCCCCTTATGTGTAGTGGAAGCGTGTTGAACAGTCTCGGGCCTCTGATGTTGATAGAGTTCTCTCTCAGAGTACCTGTTGCACCTCTCCTTTCCGTCGGGGGTATTCTGCACAAGGCACAATCGACTTGAGAATGGTCCAGGACGGACCGAAACGTTGTCGTCCCTTCACATTCTAGTGTGTGGTCTGGTTATTATTCTGCACACCCTGCCATGCTTTCTGGTCTCGTGTGGTAAGTAATTATCAAAAGGCACCAAGCCGGGAAAGCTATGAAGCACCATCAAACGTGCGGGCTATTCATAGGGCGCTAAATATCACGAAGGATGCTAATACGAGAACAAAAGCGTATAAGGCGAACGATATGAAGGTATCCGAATCACCAAGAAATTCTAGCGAAGGACAAGTGACCGCGAGGAACGGTCGAGAAGCAAGGCACACGCACGTCCTGGAAGTCCAGATATTCAACAAGGATATGCACGACAGTAAGAGGGACAATGCAGTTTGGACAAGAAGGAACAAGGTTGCGCTCCATTAAGTGCTCGTGAGTTAAACATGTAAAGCCAATACTTAACCTCCCCACAGCCGGTTACGGTAGTAGGAGGAAGGCCAAGGAGGGACAGGTCTAATGTGGTGGCATTTCTGTGTGCAGGTTTGGGACCAGCCCCTCTACTTTTTTCCACGTGTAAATTTTTATGTATCTTTCCCGTCTGCGCTCAAGAGCATACAGATTTAGGCATTTTAGTCGGTCCCAATAGTTTAGATGTTTTACTGAGTGGATTCTAGCAGTAAAAGTTCTCTGCACGCTCTCCAGGTCAGCAATATATCCAGCTTTGAAAGGGGCTGTCATTTTGCAACAGTATTCCACTCTAAAGAGCACTAACGTCTTGAAAAGTATCACCATCGGTATAGCATCTCTGATTTGAAAAGTTCTTGTTATCCAACCTGTCATTTTTCCTGCATATATGACGGCTACTATATTGTGTTTTTTAAAGGTAAAGTCTTCAGACATGAGTACACCCAAATTCTTTATATTGCCTTTTCTGTCTGACTCCGTTTTGCACGTGGTTTCCGTTTTTATATTTACATTCTTTCCGTAGCGAAGGAGCTGGAACTTATCTTCATTA